GATTTATCTCTGTGGCCCCACCGCTGTTACTTAGGGAAAAGGTTACTTTATATCCACACTGTTGATTTATAATATTATTTTTGCAATATTTTATTGTTTATAAATATTTTGTTTATAACATACTGTTTTCTTATACAAGTAGAAAATATTCTGTAAATCATTGACATTTTATTCAGTGTGATCCTTGGGCCTGATGAACACTTGAATACGGGGAGAAGGGAACCTTTGATTCAATTTTAAATTTTTCATTCGGGCAGTGAAGTTTGGGTGGCCCACTCAGAATTTACTGTGGCCCTCTAATTTTCCGTCATTTGCGTGTGGCCCCTTAGAAACATGGCGTGGCCCCCTGGGGGGGGGCAGATGGCCCACGTTGAAAAACACTGCTTTAAAAGATTCGGGACTCGGGTCTGTAGGCGCCGAAAGTTTAAGCGTTTCAGTATAATATTGTGATTTTTCAAGATACCAAGTAGGGATTCGAGCACTGGTCTCGTGTTCCAGCGCGTAACGACAAATCTGACAACAAAAAATAAAAAGATTCGAGATGTTTGCCATTTTACTGCTCGCAATATAACATCATTTTGTTTATAACCTCCTTGCTGTGTACTTTGTACACGTTGTAGTACGATGTATTACTGAATATTTTATTGATTATTACAGCTTGGGTATCGTAAGGAAATGCTTTATACTATACAATACTGCGCAAACAATTTTTCGAAAGAATTTCATAGACTTTCTTTTCGATTTAATTCTCAAGCCTCCACGAGAGGGCTACTCTCAGCAGGCTTCAGTATCGTACACATGGCGAGAAGAGTGTTAAGTCTCCTGGTGACGTAAATAGCACAGAAAGAGGAGACCAATCAGCCTTCTCGCTGCTGGTTGGCTATTTCCACTGTGTAAATTCGAATGGATTTTAAATACAGTGATCGCTGGTAACTAAAAATCAGCTTCTATATTTAAATGACATCTTTCATTAGGATATGTTTGAACCGTCAATCCACTTGGAAGTTTGTAAACTAACCAGGGTGAAGTAGGACTCATTACACACGTCTTTCTTGTACACAGAGGGGGAAAAAAGTGAAATATTTTTATATCGTGTTTCCAGAACCAAAGCCATCCTCAACATGGTAAGTAAATTACTCTGAACTCTCTTCCATCCAAGTTTTACTACTACTACATCCTTTTAAACATATTTCTATATTTTATGTATGCATACTTCGTGTTTGTACTATAACATTAAATTATTGCATGTTTGTCTTATTGTAAGGTCTAGCATGATTTATGCAAAATAATCTTGAAGTCTTGATAACGAGGAACCCACTTTTTAGAAAATAAAAGTTTTGAGACGACTTGACTGGGTAATAAAAAACTTTATTATAAATGTACGACGTTTCGACAAGCAACTCCGTATCAAATCAAGGGAAGGTGTCCGAGGATGACAAAATCTTGTCGAAACGTCGTACATTTATAATAGTCTTTTCATTACACAGTCAAGCCGTCTCAAATCTTGGTGTCGTTTTTTTTATCCAACTTGGAACTTCCTTCCATGTCCTGTTATTATAGATCTGGCTTTAAGTTTAATATAAGTGCTAGTGGAACACGTACCGCGAACATAAAAACAAATTAAGCCCAACGCTCGGATTTCTTGATAACAGGTTTAGCATAACCATATACAGCAGATCAGGGGAGGGAAGGGGACACTAAGGGCACGTAGCCCTCAACTTATCAGGGAAAGCTGCAATTTCAACACAGCAAATAAGGTCCCCCCCCCCCCCCAAATTGAAGTTTGTTCCGCTGCTTGTGAGCATAACTTTAATAATTCTCAGTTTTTGTACTAAAGATGAAACCCAACACCCAGGTTTCTGAATAGCAGAAGAAGTACAACACTCTGACTTTTTGACAACCGGAAGAATGCTACTATAATGATCTAATTCTAAATGACAGATGAAAGTACAACTCTCATGCTTATATATATTTAAAAAAAAAGGTTTCTTAATGATACAGGAACTGTAACTTTCAGATTTCGGGATGACAGATAAATGTTCAACACCAAAGCTACTTGCTGACGTTTAAAGATTCCAGGTGGAAATTCCAAAGTTTAAGTCTTCCCTTTTTACTTTAATATCTTTTTTAACTTTATTTTTTAGAAAAGTTCTGTTATGTCTTCGCTTTAGTCATAACAAACTGGACCAGGACGAGTAAGTTATCATTTAAATTAATGGACTACAACTGCCTCTTGAAGGTGACGGCATCTATACTGAGGCCTTCTTCAGGCCCCTTTAGTGTAGAGGGCAAAATGTCGTCTACTTTTCATTCAATAATAACTATGTCTACCCTGCCGAAAGTTCTACTGAAACATATATCAAGCTGTTTCTATTATGAAATTTAACGATTCTGTTGTGGATTAGCTTCCAGCTGCACGGGCGAGATCTGTGTAACATTCAGCATTGGTGTTGAAAATAAAATTTCACGCCAAGTGTTGCTTATCTTATCTTTCGTATATAGTGTGAAAAGTCCACAATACGAGTTAAATTACTTTTCGTAACTTTGTGTTACTTAAAATCCGTTTTAAAATATTGGAAAACGTTTATTCGAATATCAGTATTCGATTTCGTTGTGAGAAGTATTTTATTTCGACCGCGTGATTCACGCTTTACACGTATACAGTTACTCACTTCATTTCTGGATGTGCGCCTTATGTCTTACACTTACAGTATATTAACGTTTGTTGCTGTACACAGTAATGTACGGGTAACGAAGTGTTTGAAGTCAGACCTTGTAAGAATGAGTACCGATCTTAAATAAAATTAGTTCCGTTCGTAACTTATGACGTCATCTATTTCTGCGATAATATAATTAGTTATACATAGTTGTTGGTTTGCGTCTTGAAGATAGGCGTAAAGTCGGAACTAATCTGAGCTTAAACCGTATCATTTCATCACGTATTTTTTTTTTTATGACTATGTTCTAACTTTATTTCAAATAGTTGTATTCATTTGTAAAAAATCAAACAAAATGCTTTTTTTTAACCCTCTGCGGCTTGTGTAAATCTGCCCACCACCCCTTGAGCAAAGATTTTCAAATTTATGCAGCGAGCCATTCACAATGTTGCGAGCAAAATGCTTGCATCATATGATGCCAGCCGCAATTGAAATATAAAAGATTATGACAATAAATTATTAATAATATTGAAGACGGTGAAGATAGTACAGAATACAAAAAGAAAATATCATTACTCAACACGTTAATGGAATTACCATAATTTTTATAAACGTTAGTATTTCTTTTCTTTTAACTAAAAATATGATTTGATGACCATGATATATTATAATAGTAAGTTTGAATGTGTTTTGTCTAAAGAACATTACTCAGCAACGCCACCAATCGGTAACCCTTGATCTACACCTGTATAATCGAACAGTGTGATTTGACTGTCACTCGTATAACGCATCCTCAAAGTGCGGAGTGCATTTCTTTTGTTGTTGTTGTTTTCTTGGCGGTAACGGGTCACAAACCACACAGTCCGACAATGAGCCGCTACGTCTAAGTTAGATGAGTTCGCCTGTTACCATAAACTGTAAAAAAATCGTAATCTATTTCACTTCGATAGTCTATGTTTTGCCATAACTTGGCTATATTTTGTTTAGGGATTAAATGTGGAATTATTGTTTTTGAAACTACTATAATTCACGGACTGATGTATTGAGTGAACATCACACTGCAAGTCGCTGGTACCGAAGTAAAATAGTACATTTACTCTCCACTTGGTGCGCTGGTATCGAAGTAAAATAGTACATTTACTCTCCACTTGGTGCGTTGACTACAATACAAAATTTTTGATGTTTAGAACAAAACATTTCCAAAAATTTATATAGAGCTAGACTCGAGTTAGCTAATTTGGAAAGAAAAAAATAATAAAACCTAGATTATTTTAATATACATTATAGTCACTAGAGGACGCATTTAATTTAGACATTTCATAGAATCTGTATGGTTTATTTTTGACATTGTAGATTTCTTCAAAATACTTCTACTATTTCTCCACTGATTCTACACAACTGTCCCCCAAGCGGCTCCACGGTATGTCTGAAGTCTTATAACGCTAAAAAGCGGGTTTATGGTCCCGTCATGGGCATTGCACAGTTAGCTCCTTGTGTAGCTTTGTGGTTAAGAACCAACAAATCTTTACATCTGTTCAAGCATACTCAACAAAAAAGTGTTGCAAAAACAAGTAGATACATATTAAACGTATTCAACTTTATTAAGTCATTACCAAGGAGCCCTAAAGTAGTAACAACAACAATACAATCGTAAATAAGGCAGATTTTCCATCTCGGTTGTATAGTATCGTAAAGACGCGTTTGAATCATAAATATTAGCATCTTCAAAATTAGTTGTTTCCTCCAAACACATTCTTTTCGTAAACGTTTTCAATATAATGTTCCAATGAATTGCTGCTTTAATATTATAATGTTTTTGATCTCCAGCTACATTATCCTCTCCTGTATTCATACCAAACTAGTAACTACCAAATACAAGTACGTTAAATGTTGCCAAGTGTATCGCATGTTAGTATTTGTAACAAAAATGCATTAAAAACTTCAATTTTGGTTTATTGTAAGCTCGTATTGTGATAAGTACTTAGAAGACATGTTCGATTTTGATTAAAAACAGATAAAAAAAAATAACAGCATCTTGTTTCATTTTTATTCCACGAAGTCATATAATGAAGATGAAGACGATTGATAAAACATAAAACATTTTATTTACAAAGTTTGAACGTTTCGGAATGACTTATTCCATCTTCAGCGAAATCTGAAAATTGTGTTACAAAGATGATTATTACTAAAAATTATAATAACATAATGATTAGTTTACTTAGTTATTAAGTGTAAACTTAATTAAGTATACTTCAGTGATCAGTTTTTGTTGTTATCACTACCTATACAAGCAATTCTGTTTCAATGCAACTTTACATTGGCTGTGTTTGTCACGTGACTTGCTGATTTGCATATTCAAAACTGTTTTGGTATAACATACTCAATCCTCTGTACACCGTTTAAGTCATTTATATGTATTTTTTAGCATGAAACCTAGTTAAGTAAGTTTTTTGTTATGATTTACGCTTCAGCCTTGCAAAACGTTTCATTCATTTCTTAGAAATTGACTTAACTTTAAGATGTAATAACTGATTATAAATAACTAAATGAAGTGAAAGATAATTCGTTGAAAATAATCTTCAAATGCAAATATTTTTCTTAACGCGAAAACGTTGAAAGGATTTTGGAAGTTTCCAGTTTTGGGGTGATGTGGACACCATTTTCAGCATTTTAGGATCACACTAGTACTTGAAGCCCTAAACCAGGGCTTCGAAAAGAAAATAGTTATTTTGACAATTAAATAATACGTAGGGTTTAAAGCAATCCACACACGTATGTGAAATCGTTGTATCTTAGTAATATCGAAGTGAATAGGGCAATATATCTTTCTAATAGAATTGTAAAACCTCGGTACAAAATCATGTAATACCACAGGGAATGGAGCTGAAGTACCTTAGTACAAAGATCTCGAATACCATGGTAGATTACTCTAAAGTACCATAAGTAAAGGGATTTCGTATCGCAAAAATATGTAGTACCTTAATATAAATACCAGCAATAACATTGTTGATATAATGTATGTACTCTTAGTAAAAAATACGTTACTTTAGTAATGGTTTTGTACCAAGGGTTGTAACATCGTAAGGGATAGTACCTTAGTAATATAGCTGTAATACCCTAGTAAACAGTCATAGTATTTAGTTACAGAAGCATAGTAGTTTATTGTATAAGGCCGTATTGCCTTAGTAACAGAACTTCACTACCATAGTAGTTGGATTATGATACCTTAGCAAATAGAGCTGCAGTACCTTAGTAACAGAATTCTACTACCGTAGTAGTTGGATTATGATACCTTAGCAAATAGAGCTGCAGTACCTTAGTAACAGAACTCTACTACCGTAGTAGTTGGATTATGATACCTTAGCAAATAGAGCTGCAGTACCTTAGTAACAGAACTCTACTACCGTAGTAGTTGGATTATGATACCTTAGCATATAGAGCTGCAGTACCTTAGTAACAGAACTACA